GGCCCTGATTCTGCAGTTTTTGATTTGGTAAGAAGTGGCCCCAAACCTGACAGCTATCCTCCCACCACCCAAGAAATAGTTGACCCTCCCACCTGCCAGTCTGGCACCCATCAGTTGGGAGGGTAGCCAACATGAACACTAGGGACAGGTGTCATGGTGTTCAGCCACATTGCAGCCACCATAGCCACCAATTTGAATTTGACAGCCTGCATTGGACCTCCAGGAATCTGGATGTGACACCTGTCCACTGTGCCTGGACTACCGGGTCGGGGAGAGAGAGAGAGAGAGAGAGAGAGAGAGAGAGAGAGAGAGAGAGAGAGAGAGAGAGAGAGANAGAGAGAGAGAGAGAGAGAGAGAGAGAGAGAGAGAGAGAGAGAGAGAGAGAGAGAGAGAGAGAGAGAGAGAGAGAGAGAGAGAGAGATTTCGGAATGGCACGCATCCTGCACCTGTGGGTGGGAACGGGTCAGCTAGGAAGATCAGATTGTACTGATGTTATTTTTCCTAGTTTCTATTTTTGTGTTTTTTCTTTCTCAGATATTGAACTGCTGCCACCAAGTGGCCTAGCTCAGTTGGTACACTCCTGAACTGTTAAAATACAGACCTGAGTTTGAGCTCTGCTGGAAACAGCTGAGTAAAATACTACAATTCTGAATTACCTATCAATGATCAGATCTCAAGGCCATCACAATCTCCTCTCCTCTCCTTCCCCCCCCTCCTTTTTTTTTTTTTTTTCATTTTAAAAAGTCCATGGTGTTGTAGAGGCCAGTCACTGTGTACACAGTGATCACCTGGAGCAGTAGGCCGTGGGTGTCCTGGAATATGAGACCACCTCCCATCCCATAGTCACGTCAATACTCCTAGCGCACCCCCTATCCCACTATCCTACCTCAGTGTGACCAGCACTCAGGACCATTACCCTACCAATGGGCAGGTAACTTGGACCGAACAGCAGTGATAGGCACCAGGGCTGATAGGTTGCCCAGCCCTGGTGGAAGCGGAATCGGACGAGCCTTGTCGAATGGGAACTTCGGACGCCAGGCCCAGACAATCTACTACAGGCCCCAAGAGACTCTGGGCCCTAGGTATCAGACAGGGTAGCACCCATTGAAGCAGTCTTACCGTCCTTCCCCTAGCTTACCCGAGGCCAGGCGGAACTCGGACTGGCCTGAGCGACTTATACCCCTACCCTTACTCCAGGGTCTAAGCCTTATATAAAGCCACTAGACAGTTCTACCCGAATATCAGTAGGAACTCCGGTGGCCCATACCTGTCCCTACCGCAGATACTAGACCCCACCCAGTGACTAGACCCACCCAGTCTGATAGTTGTGTAGTTCGCAATCTATGTGTATACCCAAAGGCTGTGTATACTCCGTGTATCTATGTATGAAGATGTACAGACAGCACTATGTGTGGAAACTTGTGTATGTAGCCCATAGGCCATGTATAATTCGCAAGCTATGTATATGCCCGAAGGCTGTGTGTGCTCTGTGAATCAATGTATCGAGATGTATAGGCAGCATCATGTGTGTATATCGAAGAGAGAACGGGGTAAGCTGGACAAGGACCCCCCCAAGATCCGAGCCAAGCTCGAACCCGTGACCTTGAAACATGTAATCGTATGACTCTACCATGTGAATGGGTAGTGGAAATGGCACGAACCTGTGATATGCCAGACTGGGGAGATCAACAGAACACCCAAGACCAACACCCCCAAGCAACCCGTGTGAAACCCAGAACCAACATACAACACCATGATGAACAACCCTTGGGTGGTGCGCAGGCAGTGTCTGTAATAGTACCATGCGTCGACCTAAGGGAGTGTGTCCAGCCGTGCTGTGACGCCCAACCTCACGCCGAGCGCGACTTCCTGATCGGAGTAGGATGTGGGCCTGGAAGTGCGAAAAGGGGTGTGCCAAGGATTTTTGGGAAAGTGGGGGTGGAGTCCCAGGTCAGAACTGAGATCTCCTGTGGCAGAGTTTTTCGGGGGCACGAGTGCAATTTGGTTGAGAGGACGGACCGCTTCCGGTCATAAGGCAGATGGCATGCGTGGATCATTCAAGGTCGTCCGAACCGTCTGTTTTGATAGCGGCGGTTCGACGAAAGGTCCATCCGGGGTGGGTGTGATTCTGATGAGTCAGGCCGTCGGATGTCGCCACGTGTCGTCGGTCGTCGCACGTTCGGGTTAGGCCCTCGGGGTGCCGGGGCTCTCTGGTTGCCGCGTCGCCGGCAATTTCCGCAGGGTGTGCGGGGCCAGTATGGGGCTATGGCGTTCCACGGGACGACCGTGAGTTGATGATACGGGAAAGAAGATGGAAGGGAGGGAAGTTAGTGGAGATAACGACAAACCCGGGGGAAATAAAGTAGTGCGTGTGATCAGAAGTGGGGAAATCAGGGCACCGTGGATCGCTGGTTGTGGCACAGTGGAACTCCCTAGGACACAATCGATTCTCGGTTAAGCAGGGGAACCTCTGTCGGAGGCACTCTTCTATCCAAGGGGTGAAGTATTCCGGGTCCCATGACAAATCTGAGTCCCCGGAGCGTGTCATTTTGTCATCGTGGACCCGCAAAATTCCTAAGTGCGTGTTTACCCGTGCTTATCCTAATATTCGAACTATTGCGAATTATCGTGGGTGAGTACGAGTAGGCTGCGTGATTCGGATCGCGTTTACATGTGTCACTCGGGGTGATCGCACCGCTGCATGCAAAATGGCCACTGATCACATCCAGTCATTCAATATTCCTGCAGTCGTTAGTTATTTCATGTCTGGGTGGTTGCAAATTGACGCGCGGGAACACGTACAGGTTGCGCGAGTCACATCGCGTCTGTGCGCATTTCCGCGCGGCATTCGCCGATGTCTGGGTCGACCACTACCCAGCTATCCAATCATCTAATCACCCCGTAATCCCATGCGCCATCATTACGCAATCATCCCTGAATACGCAGGGTGCTGCTACGCATTCGCAGCAACAACAGTAGATCAAAAAGACAACAACAGTAGTGAGGAGTGCGCAAACCTTCCTCTTATGCTCATGAGGGTATCAAAAACGACAAGCAAAGGCAAAGATCAGACATAAGGAAAAGCACACAAACATAACATCCATTCATCCGTTCATTCAGTACAACACACAATATCCAAGATTGAAATCACAAAAGCAAGTGTGGGCTGAAACCAAGTCAAAATTCCAAAATAAACAAAAGAGAACAGGCGAATCGCCCTGAACCGAGATCAAAATTTATATACAAAGGTGAGGAGGGAGAAAAGACAAAGAAAACTGCAAATCCACGTCCATCAACCTCAGCTCCCTCTTCCTCTCTTTCTCTCTCCGATGTAGACAGTCCATCGTCACGCACTAACCCACGAAGTCGTCACCCCGCTTAGTCCTCCCGCACCCGTCAGGTTCGCCCTCGCGCACAGTCCGTCGTGGCCCGCGCCAACCCCGCGCGTTCGGCACCAGCTCGTCGGGTCGCCCAACTCCCACTTCACTCACCTCTTACTTCGCTCGTGAGCCGACCCTTACTGATCGCGCTACCCTGAGCTTCCATTAGCTGGTTAAGAGAGCTATCTAATTGCGCAGCCGGAATTTATAGCATGTATGCATGCGCGAAGAACACGGAATTGCAAGGACTTAGGAAGGAGATCAGAGAAGGGATCGCCTACGTTCTGCATAGCCAGACCGCGGCGTGGGGGACCTTGCCTCTCTCCACGCACCGATCCGATCATGCAGTCCGCAGGCTGGTTAGACACAGGAAGAAGAAGCGAAGGTGGGAAAAACGAGGCACAAGAGGAAAGGTACAGTTACAATGGCGCCCGCCCAAAATTACAGTTACACGCACGATTAAGGGCGCCGACTAATCAGAGTTCCGTTGCAGCCGCACAAAGAAGCACGTAAACCAAAACGCATTGCGCGGCAAAAGGAAATCCTCATTGCAACATTCCTAAATTCCTATCTAATGCAGAAAAGCAAAAAGCACAAATTTCGAAAAGAAAGGCCGAAATTCCGAGAGTCGTTGGGGCTCGACAAGATTTGAACGAGAATGCAAAAAAAAATTTAAAAAAGAACGAGGCAAAAATTCCCGCGCGATCTCCGCGCCTAAAATCGGACAGCAAAAACGAAAAGGAATGTCGTCGACCATATTTGCGCGCTCTTGACGGCGCAAAACCCATCAATCATCCCCGGGACTTGCCCGACCCTGAACCAGCCATCCGAAAGGAACCGACACAAAAAGAGGAAGAAGCGAGGACACCGATGCAATTTTCCATCCACCCCAGTCTCTCGTAATTGGCCCATCCTTCCCAGCTTAGGACCCCTCGTCGCTTCCGCGCAGAAAATCACGTGGTGAGGAAATCGGTCCGTCACATATGTGACGCCCAGGGGGTTCCAATCTTAAGCAAGCTCCTGCTTGCTTGAATCTTGACACGTGTCGATCTCTCTATTTGACCGACATGTGGAGCCGTATACGTTGCCACTTACTGTGTAAAGGAGTGTGGAAGTCATCCAACGTGGCATGCAAGCTCTATCCTACAATTTCCTCAGGAGGGCTCTCGTCAATCCAAGGAGGGGATCATTCGCACCATCGCCGTGGCACGCTCCAATCAACCGATCGCCGATCATCAGTGTCCACTGGGGAGAGGAAACGGAAGTCGGTACATGGGGGCATGGTGAGGAGGAGGGTTGAGGGGAAGTGGGGGTAAGAATCGTTCCACCTCGGCTACTGTTTCCGGGAGCTCCTGGTAACGGACGATCCTATGGAAGCGGGGGAAGCGATTACCAGTATGGGGGAGGGAGGCGAGATAGTCGGGATATAGGGTGGTAAAGGTGCGTAAGAGTGCCGCGCGAAAATGATCGTGGTTTTCGCACGCGAGGATAGTTCCCGTAATCATGCAAAAAACCTTGATCATATTGTTGCCTCGCCATGCGGCACTGAAGAGAAGGGTGTGGAGGTAAAAATAGGGGAGGGCGCACCGGGTTGAGGGATGGGGTTTGACGATAACGACGAGACGGGTGGCGTAGAAGAATCGGAAGGTGTCCATGGGGAAGGGGTTGCGGGGGAAGGTGACAAGGGTGGTGATTTGTCGGAGGGTGAGATGGTCAAGGGGCCGGCGGGATAATGACCGGGGACGAAGCCTGATGCCCCGCATCGGTACGGGCTCGAATTGATGGATGGTCGGAGGTGGAGGGGGATCGGCTTCGTCGCCACCTTGCCGGTGTGCTCGAAGTCTCGGCCTGTTCTCCATCTTCAAGCTTGGGCGGCTCTGGATCGCGGGGCGGATCGTCGGTGATTGGCAGATTTGTCGTGCTAGCGAACTCTAGTTGTCGTTTCCCGGCCACGATTTCGTCTCTTTTGCGTGCCGCTTCGGGGTCTTTCGCCTGCTCCGCTTCTGTTTGTTCGAGATCTTCCGCCAAGATCTCCCACTCCGACTCCTTCAGTTCCAACTCGTCCTCCTCCTCCTCTTCCTCTTCACTCTGCTCTCCCTCGTTGTGCTCACTATAACTACCTTCCTCCGGGGTTTCTTCCTCCTCGTCCTCGTAGGCGGCTTCTTCTTCTTCTTCTTCAGCGCTCTCTTCTTCGATCTCTATCTCTTCGTCGTCAGAGGCCGCTCGATTATGGAAAAAGGCGAGATCGATGATCTCGCACGGGTTCATATAATCTTGCTGCGATGGCGGGTTGCGACCTCTTCTCGGCTCTTCCAGGCACGCCGACCACTGAAGATACGACATTAGAGTCCGTGGGAGGACGTGCGGAACCGGGCTGTCGTCGCTTTGCGAGACGATCTCGAGTGGGAGATCGTCTGATAGCTGCGCAAGGGGGGACCGTCAGCTCCAGAATGATCGGCTGGTGATGACTGGGGCGCACCGATCTGAACAGGAATCCGAGAAGATCGCCTTCTACGTCCGTCCTCCAGGTTTGAACGATCATCAACTCCAAGTACTCAAACCATTCGCGGTGTTCCTCGTCCCTTGTCCATGTGATTCGTACTCCGACCAGGCACACCGAAAGATCGACGAAGTGCTCACTCCACAGCCGCCACTGCCTTGGATCCAGAAGGGGGACAGCGAGTGGTTCAAAACAGAAGGAGAAGCAAGGATGGACTCCGGACTGCCAGAAGGTGGGGAAGAGGGATGGGAGAGCGAAGGTTGAAAGTCGAGAACGGTTCATTGAGGACGAGGGAAGGGGATGAGTTCGGGAAGCACCACCGCTGGCTCGTGCTGCACCCCGCGAATTCCACCAAGTTCGATGTCGTCCGTGGGGAAACGATTATCCCCGTGGCGCGTAAGACAGCGGTTCCACTCCGTCGCCAGTTGTTGCGCCCACTCCCTTAATGATGTCCGGATGGGCGTATGTCGTAGCGCACTGACCGTACTGATATCGCCGCTGAAGCCGACGACGGTGGACACGTGGCTAATCCCCGGAGTTGACCGCCGATGGACGGCCACTGCTTCTGCTAACACGACTGCCTAAGGACTGCCCGCGAATCGGAATTCGGTCGCTGCGTACACTCACGAAGTGCAGAAGAACTGCGCCAGTCGTAGAAGATCCTGATTGAACCGTGGATGACGAACCTGCCGAATCGCTGAGATGTAATCTCGTGGCATTAAGAGATGGTCGCCGAGGGCCCGCTCCGTGAGAAAGTTCATGGCAATGGTGGCGGGGACGGAGTATGGGATAAGGCGAGAGATGTGGGGGAAGAAGATGGCGATAGAGAGTCGTCGTCTTCTTCCGAAGAAAAAGACGGCGCAGGAGATGGGGAAGAAGGGAGGTGACGTAGGTAAGACACGTGGCGAACGATCGAGCGCGCCGATCAGCTTCCCGAAACCTCCGGCACGAGGCGCACGGTGTTCACTCCGTTTGGTCCAAGCTCTTGGAATCGCTAGAAGAATCGTGGCGCTATCTTACCCTGGAGAGCACATTTCCTTACCTGCACCAAATCCCCTAATTTGTACTAGGGCCGAGGACCCTCGTTTCCGTTTCGGGCCTCGTAACTACGGACCTGTCGGCCGAGGGCCAACACGGTCATTTTCTGCGCTTTCGGGCTAACCGGGGCAGGGACCTCTCCATCAGTTCCAGGTGTCGCTTGGCCTTGTCTCGAACTGTGGCCCTTGTGGGCCGTCGGTTCAACGAAGATTCGTCCGGGAGTCTCGGTATTGAAACACAAGCCACGCTATTGGTCCTTAGATTCGGGCCGCTAAGATGGACCGCTAAGATTCGTGGGGCGTTCCTCGATTGACCGCTAAGATGTGATCTATGATATCGGGCCAGGGCCTGGGGTCCCGTGCCGCGATATTGCGTCGTAGCGCAGTCTTTATCACCCTATTTGCATTCTCTACCAGCCCGTTGGATTGCGACATGTGGGGTGCGGTATTCTGAATAGCGACGCCGTGTATGATCAGATTCCTCAAGACTTCCCCCCTGAATTCTACTCCATTGTCGGTCAAAATTTCTGCCGTGTCCTGGTGCATCCCTAAAAACCGATTGGCGTATCGCGCGATTTCAGCCGCCTGTCGCGTACGACAGGGATACGCCTCGATCCATTTCGAAAAATGGTCCACGAACACAAGAAGGATTGAATATTCACAGCTATCGGGTCAAGGGGGCACCACTATATCGGTAGTATCCATGCTAACCCTTTGGAAAGGCCATTCAACTACCGTTGGTACTATTGATCTTGGCGGCTAAATCGACGCCTTATCGGCAGCGCAGACCTGACAGTTCGTGACGATGAATTTCACATCGTCATGAATATTAGACCAATACCACTCATTCTTGTCGATGGCTGCCTCCGTGATCCGTACAGCAAAATGGGCAGCCGTTTCCTCGTGCGTTGTCTTCACCCAATCATACCTCATGAACGGGTGCGGCACTATCATCCAAATCCCAATACCGCCCGTTTTTCGTTTTTCCAACCGTCCCTCCTTCCAGCTGTAGTCCCGAGCCCTTTCATTGGCCCTCCTCCGATCTTCCTTGGTGAAGTCCTGGAGGGGGTAACCCACTAGAGTAGCAATCAACGCGATATCCGTCCATACTTCGGCCCTTCTAAACCTCCGGGTTTTTTCCAACCCCTCTGACGTGGCGTCTAAAAGCGAGCCTCAGTCGGGATCTTATCAACCTGACACAAGGGGCACAACCAAGGCTTGCTGTCATTACGGTATTGGATGCACGAGCCGTGGTCTCGTGCGACGCACTGTCGACAATCTACCCATTTCGCATACCCTTCCCCGTTAGGGCGCATAGAGACCGAGTATACGCGAGAAATGGCTTCGCAAAAATAACAAAATTTATCAGGCAGGGAGAGAAGAGATGAGGAGGAGGGAGTAGAGAGATGAGTTACCAGATTACCTCCGTCAACCATTGCCACCGGCCTGCTTCTCGCCATGTGGAAGGACTACCACTTGTCCGTACTTGGGCCCGTTTGATGACTCTGGCTCCTTCCACGGGATGATCTCCTCTGCCTTCGGTACTTTAGCTGGTCGGTGCAGACGTGTTAGTCCGTCCGCGTTGTTGTGCCTCTCCGTCTTCCAATGGATGATGTCGAAGTCGTATTCTTGTAGGCGCACTGCCCATCGACCAATCATGCCCGTGTAATTGGTAAGTATGTTTAGCGCTAGCAGGGGATCATGATCGGTGACAAGGAGGAACTTTTGTCCGTACAGATACGGATGGCAGTGTTGGATTCCCCACACTACCGCGTAGCATTCGCCTTGTGGAGCTGAGTCGTTCTTTCGCTCGTCTGGTACAGTTCGTGATGCATACTCGATGACATGCTCTCGACCATCGTTCCCCTTCTGCGCTAAAATAGCAGAAATAGCCTCCGACTGCATTCGCCTTGTGGGTCCGGTCGGATCAAAATAGGTGTCGTTGCCAGGGCTTCCTTGAGGGTCACAAAGGCCCGTTCGCACTCTGCGTCCCAACTAAGGGGCTGATCCTTCCGCAACAAATTCGTTAAGGGTCGCGCAATCGCGGCGAAGTCCTTAATGAACCGTCGATAGTATGAAGCGAGCCCCAAGAAGGCTCGAACCTGCGTCAGTGACGTGGGAACAGGAGCTTCCTTCACCCCTGCAACCTTTCTAGAGTTAGGCCGCAGTCCTCCACGTGTCACGACGTAGCCTAAGAATGAAATTTTTGAGAGGAAAAAATCGCTCTTTTCAAGCGCAATCTTGAATTCGGCGTCTCGTAAGGCGCCTAATGTCCACTCGATGTGTTGCGCATGTCCATGATAGGTTTCCGAGTAAGCCAGGATGTCGTCCATATACATGATGCCGCAGAAGTTGATCATCCCTTACGTGAGCCGCGTCTTGTTGACGAAGTTCTAGAACGTGATGTTCATAGCTCGTTGGAACGTGGGCAGCGCGTTGCATATACAACAGAAAAAAACTGAGTTATCTTAAATAACATTTTTTTACTTTTTTGAGTGTGGAATCAGTTATAAACATTGCGTGCACACTGTGTCTTAACCTTACAAGGTTAAGTAATCTTCGAAAGAGAAACACATAATTGCGGATGGTTGCTTCAATATTGATAACGTTAGTTTCTACCGATAAGAAATAGACATTTTGTTCGAAACATGTTCGACCAAAAGTTGGAGAAATGTTAATTTCAATGTTATGCAAACTATATATTTTTGTTGTTATGTCATTGGACCAATGTTGTGATTACGTACTGCTTGTCGTGTCACAACGTTGATTATACGTGAGTGGACCATTGCAAAATTGTTAACCATGTGTTCAATCAACACATATAATTACGATTTAAAATCATTGTCCATACAGTTTGATTATTATGGTGAATGTTAGCCAAGTCATTTTTTGAACTTCGGCAGCACTGTTTTTTTCTATCTCGCCAAATATTATGTAACCTTCACATTTCTGTTTGAAAATTTTAACTGGATGTTTGATTAAAATTCTAATTTAAAAAAAAAAAAAAGTACCCAACAGTGAGTCGGTCATTGAGGCAATGTCACTACATCAATAATAATATAATAACCATTTTCAAATAATATGAATAGAGGTTACCATAAACAAATTACTCATGTAGTGAATCTAACGTTTTTATTTATAAAATATTATACTGTCATTACACATACTTTGTGTATTAGCAGTAACATAAGAGATGTCAACATAATGCAAATACTACATATTACTGAAAAGTAGCAATATTACTTGCACTATATTTGTACTGATATTGTTGGCAGTATATAAATATATATGTTTTACAATTATAATATATAGAGAGAATATAAAAAAATAAAAAAATGCATAAATACATTCTTCGCAAATACAAAATAAAGTTCCTAAGTATTATACAGTAAGACAACACAAATAAGGATAGATGGTATATTGTTCATCTCATTTTTATATCGACTTTCAGCACTACGAGTTTCATCGAGTCTGTGTCATAGTTACAGACCAAATTTTAAATACTTTCTACTGTCATTTATTTCAATGAAATCATAAGAGAACCACAAATACATATACCAACAAATGTATTAAGAAAATTAATTGTCAAATACACCATTATATCAAGTTTTCATTGGTCGGTACAAAAATTGTTATCATATGCCTCGCTGCAGCAACTACACACTCTAAATGCAATGTTCGCCAGTGGTTGTTTGAGATGTGAACACGATTTGTACATAAGACACAAAATATTTATAATTTAGAAAAACACAAACATCAGAGTCAAATAATAAAAAAGAAAAGCAAAGTTCATTACTCATGGTCGCAAACACGTTAAAAAAAATAAAAGTTT